TCTGCCCTAAGGAACTGTGTCAGGGGAAGGGTTGGTGTAGGGCAATAGCACATACAGTTTGTACAGTGTAAAAACCATTATGCCTATGGAGAGTCCCCACAAGGATAGCAAACCAGACATTTGTGTGTGTGTGTGTGTTCCACATAATGGTAATGAGAATGTCAGAATAAGAATACTTGCAATAATGCAATGCAGTAATGAGATTTGGAAAGAAATGTGCTTAATTTTCATAAATGCAATGCCTTTATTGGCTTAATTTTCTTCATGCATTTATTTATTTCTATTTATTTTTTATTTATTTATTTATTTATTTTTGGAGTCATAATATAATTTTGAGACATTTTCTTTGCAGCCTTTCATGAGATTCACCCACATTAACAGGCTTGATTTTATTTGGTAAACTTGTAAAATTCTCTCAGAAAAAAAAATCTAAAATCTGTCAGTGGGACGGTTTTCAAAAGGTACATTTGTAAAGGGTGCATATTAGTACCGTAAAGGTACATATTAATACCTTTTGAAAGGATTCCGCCCTAGTGACAGCTAGGTCTACAAGGTTTGAGAAACCTGTTGAAAAGAGAAAATTTCTCTCCGTCTCCCTCGTTGGATTAACACTCTTCACTCTTTTTGAAAATAAGGAGTCAGGCTGTGTTCTTGTGTCTGTCCGGTGTGTGGAGTGAATGTATTCAGGCGGAGAGGAAGGAAAGTGGGCCCTCGAGTGAGCGGACAGGGATCAATGTATCGATGCTCTAAGTCTGTAATTTTTGTCTCAAATTGAGACTCTCCATTTTTACTCTTCTGAAGTAATGGCTGTGTTTCCAGACGCTCTCGGGAGACAGGAGTGTGAAGTGTTCTTGTGCGTTCGGTCGGCTGTAGTGTTGGTTGGGAACGTTTCATCGAGTAAATGTTTTTCTGTTCTGTGCGGATCTATGCAGGGCATTTTTGCTGAATCTATTACAACTGCCCACGCAGAACCCAGAACACTCTCGTCCTCATTAACACACACATTCCTGCTGTCTCATTAAAAGTCACTGATTGATGGACACAATTCAGAGTGAGTCATGATTTACAGTCTGCTTGTGTTAACTCACCTCTCTCTCATTTATAACGATGGCAGAGTCTGTCCTCACTAATGCTCACTCATCTTGAAGGTGGAGTATAGAGGAGTTCTGTGTTTTTTGTATCTTTTTTTTTTTTGTCAAAAACTGATAATAATTGATAAAAATAAAATAATTTGTAACACACCAGCCAACAGATTCACGGATAGTTTGTGTAGCCAGCAAATATAACAGTGTGTAATATTGACAAAAGTGGGAAACCCAAGATCAATAGTTAGTTAAGATTTAGAGCCAAACAAATAAGTGTTTACAAAACATTTTGTACTCATTAATCAACAAATCACTTGCTCGCAATCATCAAAACATTAACTGTATCTTTAAACTCCTAAAGTTCAGAAATTGTTCTTACCTAGCTAACCAGTATAAGTGCCTAGTTTTCATGAAAATTATACTGTGCACATTAATAATCTACTCATAGACTGTCAAAATGATTTTTCAAAGTTGTAAACAAAACAAAGATTATTGGAGTACTTTTTACAAAAAAAAATACTACTTCAGTTTTTCGTCTACTTTCACCTTTAATATTACAGAAGCACAAAATACTAGGATCTATCCAGTTAAGCCTGTTTTGTTTTGTTTTGGAATGTAAAAACAAACAAACAAACAACACATAATGCAATTATTTATTTTATCAGGAAAATACCATATAGCCTATAGTTGAAATCTCTGTAAACCAAATTAATGCTATTTTATAAATTATTTGTAATTACACATAGAAAGCACTGAACGCATGTAGGAGAAGATTTGAAAATCACTTAAATTTATGTAACTTTTTTTGCCTGGCAGTTGTTAATAATGTGAGTAGCTATGTAGTACATCTTGCTCTTGTGGCATTTGATAAAAAAAAAAATAATAATAATAATAATAACTTCTACCCGAGAAAGACTTTTACCCGACAGTCAAAGCGGCATTACATCACAAAAGTGTGGACTCAGAGGAAGACCGCGAGGGTTTAGGCTGCGATTTGGCCTATAAGTCCAACCCTGCGTCCCAATGTTCATACTATCCATCCTAAATAGTATGTGAGATTAAAAAAAAGTGTCTCAAAGCATAGTATGTTGAAAAGAGTATGCCAGAAGTCCCCGGATGGTCTACTATTTCAGGTTGATTTTTGAAGTGTGGATCCGTGCACACTATAATGGCTAATATTACCCACAATCCATTGCGCTTTGGCAAAGGATTCGATTCAGAACTACAAAAGCCCGGTCCCAAATCGCAGCCTAAACACTTGCGGTCTTCCTCTGAGTTCACACTTTTGTGATGTAATGCCGCTTTGACTGTCGGGTAGAAGACTATATATATATACATCATTTTTTTTTTTTTTTGCTTGAATCAAAATTAGCCCTAACTTAGCCCTAGCTCTAACTTAGCCCTTAGTTCAGTTTTGTTATTGTGTGGATTGTATATTGTATTTAAACAGTGCACAGACATAAATGTGAACAGCTTGGCTGTACAAACACGGCACTATAGAGGTACAATGGGCGATTTCCAAGGGTTTGCTGTCTCTTTAGAATTAGTCTATTAGTTCTTTAGAAGAGAGTCCAGGCAAACTAAACTAAACAGTCACAAAAAAAAAAAAATCCTGATGTACTTTGGCGCCGCCTGGTGCAACAGCAACGTTATTCCATTCAATATCACCAGGAGAAGTTTCAAGTTCTCATTATTGGTGGCAGTCACTCTACCTCTGTCCCAACAACATAGGTACAATTATAACATCACCACTTTAAATATGGGAATCATAAAGTAACTTTTGGATGTTATTTGGCATGTCGCTGCGTCAAATGTGGTCTGGCTATGTCTTGATGAGTTTGCTGAGAAGATAAGCTTCATCATTTGAAAATCACTAAAATAATGTACAGCGTGAATGAAAATCTACTATCTATGGGGGTTTTTATAATAATAACAATTTTTTTTTTTTATTTAAGTTTTTTTAATCCAAAACGAAGTTTCAAATAATAACAACAATCAAATCAAATCAACTAACTATCGCTTATTTCTCACGCTTTCTAATGATCTAAACACCAGTGCTGAGATTTAACAGCAGCATCACACATATATCAAATATCATCAACAGTCTATTATGAATATTCTTACTTTTTTTTTTCATAAAATAATAATGATTAGTAATAAACTGACGAAATACATGAAACATTTTGAGCTTTATCAATATGGCATATGCTCAGAAATATGTTGTTTTTAAATTCAGATCATCTCATGTTTTCGATGAAGGTACACTCGGTTTGTCCCTATTTTACCCAGCACTGGGTTTTATTTAACCCAGCATTTTTTAGAGTGTATAAACTCATTTCTCATAAGTGTCTCATTCTTCAGCTTCACTGCTAGATGTACAGTATTTGTCCAAACTCTCAATAGCATCCTGTTTCGAGTATACTCGCCATTCATATGCCATCTCAAATGTTTTAGTAAGGTATTTTTCTAGATATTTCTGGAATCTGAACACAAACCCACACTCTAAAAAATGCTGGGTTAAATACAACCCAGTGCTGGGTAAAATAGGGACAAACCCAGCAATTGGG